AAGAGATGCAGAAACGGTCCTTGTAATTTGGTTGCAGAAATGGTCTCTAAGGGTAAAATTGTCTTTTTTTTAATCACCAAACATATTTAGACCAAAACCACATATTTTTGATCGATGGTGCACCACCAAACATATTTATACCAAAACCACATATTTTTATCCAAAAAGGTTTTGTTGTGCAATAGTGGTCCAATTTTGGATACCTAGTGTTGTTTTGGTCCCTATGGTTATCATTTGTGTGTAGTTTATGTCCACAACCCACGTAAAATGACGAATATGCCCTTATTTGATTCTTTTTAATTTTCTTTATTTAATATTCTTTATTTAATTAAATAAAATAAAAAAGAAAGCATTATCTATCCTACCCCACCCCACCCACCCCTTTCTCTTTCTCTCCTGCTACATTACTCATCATACCACCACCATCAGAGAAGGGCCACCGCCGCCACTACCACCACCATTAGAAGATTAGGAGATATGGTTGTCACTGCCACCACTAGAGAAGGGAGGCGACGCCGTAGTAGAGATTGGAGCTAGGATTTGCACACCATTTTCGCTGGAAAGCATCTATCGTCATCTTCGTCCCTTCGTCTTCTCTAGTAGCGTCATTATAATGTCATAAGGGTTTTGTAGCGCTATCTGTCGTCGTCGCATCCTTTCGTTGCCGCCCCTTTGTTCTAGATCTACAAATGAGACCGACAATGATGTTTTCCATTACATAAACCCAAGCCACCACATTGTTTTCGTTCCACATACGGTAGCCATTGGTAGAGGGTTGTCTTAGTAGTGGCGCATGGTGGCGCAGAGGGTGGAATGGAGGCGACCGTAGGTTGTGGTGGCGCAGGGGGTGGAAAGAGATGTGTTTTCGTTGGTGCTCAGCAGCATGGTGGCGGCGTCCGGCGGTCGCAGTGTTGGCAGGTGAAAATCGTAATTGCTGAAAGATGGTGGAGCGACATTTAGGTTGGGAAAACTCCGATCATAAGTGTAGTACCAGTGGGAAGTTTTATCAGTACGAGGAAGGAAAGATGGGGTGAGGGTGGTATTAGATGTTTGTGGTGGACGGTGGTGGCAATCGGTGGTGATGGTGGCGGACAATGGAAGCAGTCAGTGGGGATGGTGGTAGCCTTTAGCGATGATATGTTTCTTAAGTATGTGTGTGTATCCACCTCCAAAAAAATTTGGACCAAAACAACAAAATTTTGCGAACCAAAGGAACCATTTTTGCAATTTTGTCGTAAATATTTTTATATTACAACTAAATTTTATTGAAATCGTTTACCTTTTATAAAATTGTGAATTTTGTGGCTTTCAGTAGGCTAAATACAATAATGATGGAGAACATGGTAATTTTGACAAAGGTATGTGGACTGTGAAACCTCTATTTTTTAATCATTTCATTTATTGTAGAATTGTAGAGACCTCATGGTATCTAATATTGTTAAAAATGATGAGTTTTCCGGTTTATAGATTTTCAAAAGAAAGGAAAAGGCAAAATACAAAGAGACGAAACGAACTTCACCATTTTAGCAAGCAAATGAGTTTATTTCATCTCAAGTTCGGATTTTGGGTAGTTCTTTTGGTATTTTAATCTTTTGCTTCGTATTTACATCTTTCAAAAAATATTTATGTCAACTAGTATAAAATTCACTTAAATATTGGTTGATGAAAAAACAAGTTACACATAAAAATGGAAGTATGTTGCTATTTATTGCATTAAAATATATGCAATAAATAGCAACATACTTCCATTTTTATGGTTTATAAGAGTAAATAATGTTTAATATAAAGACAATGTAGATAACAACAAAAACATATATATATATATATATATATATATATATATATATATATATATATATTTTTAAATGGTCCAAATTAAGGGAAAAAAAATACGGATGACCAAATTGACCAAAATAATACAAAAATGGTCAAAATGATCAAATTGACAACAATAGTCAGTTTCGTTAAAATCTTTTTTTACTTTGTGTTTTCAATTTTCTTATCACCGTCCAAAAAACTCAACTTCAAGCTCAATGTCGATTCCAAGTTGTCTCAACTACATAATCTATCTTAATTGCTAAACGGCAGGTTAGCAAGGTTAACATCTACTGTATAATCCAAACCCCTTATATCTGCATGTTTTTCCACATACAAGATCACATTTAAAAAACATATTAATAAAATTTTATATAAAAGAAAAAAAATATACCTACAAAAGTACATTTAAAAAACATATCGGCCAAAAGCAATGCCCTTTATTTTATTTTTGATGGATTTTCTGCTGTCCCTTAACCCGTTATGAGAATTAGATCCTTTCTAACAAAAAAATTATGATATATTATAGAGAATACCTTTAAATACAATTTATTAACAAAAATACTTGCTTCACGTCGTTGACAATAGCACCGGCAACAATTCTGTTATTATACCTGTATTTTTCTTCTTCTGACAGTGTAGGTCACGAGTAAGAGTTGAAGTTGTATCCAAAATCTCATTTCTACATAAATTAAACATTAGACAAATTTAAATATAAAAATATCAAAAAATTAAAAAAAATAAAATAAAAAAATGGAATTTGCTTACACAATCCTAAATAGTTCAAAACTATCTCTATCAAGTAGCTTCGTAGAGACAATTTTGAAGTATTTATGATCGTTTAATTAAATTCCATCTTTTTTATTTTTAAAATTTTTCTAATTTATTTGATATTTTTGTATTTAAATTTGTCTAATGTTTAATTTATGTAGAAATGAGATTACGGACACAGCTTCAACTCTTATTGGTGACCTACACTGTCAGAAAACGGAAAATGCAAATATAATAAGAAAGTTGTTGCTGGTGCTAATGTCAAGGACAGGACGTAAGTATTTTTGTTAATAAATACTATGTAAAGGTTTTGTTTATAATATATTATAATTTTTTTTTAGTTGCAAATGATCTAATTCTCATAACGGGTCAAGAGACATCAGAAAATTCATCTAAGATAAAAAAAAAAGGGTATTGATTTTGGTCATTATGTTTTTTAATGTGCTTTTGTAGATATTTTTTTTTTCTTTTATATAAAATGTTATTAATATGTTTTTTAAATATGATCTTGTAGGTAGAAAATTTTGTAGATACCAAGGGTTTTGACTGTAAAGTGGATGCTAACCCTGGCAGTTTAGCAATTAAGATAAATTCTGCAGTTGAGACAACTTGGAATCGACATTGAACTTGAAGTTGTGATTTTAGACAGTGATAAGAAAATTGAAAACACAAATTAGAAAATAACTATTGTGGTCAATTTGATCATTTTGACCATTTTTGTATTGTTTTAGTGAATTTGGTCGTCCGTACTTTTTTTTTCCTTAATTTAAACCATATAAAATAAAAAAAACAATATAATATATTTTTGTTGTTATCTACGTTGTCTTTATATTAAACATTATTTACTCATTTTAATATTTTTAATAATAATATGCTTATTAACAATGAATATGGTAGTATGTTGCTATTTATTTATAGCTCAAGATTTGGCTAAATGCAATAAATAGCATTTTACTTTTATTTTTATGTGTAACTTGTATATTATCAACCAATACTTAACTAACTGAATTTAATAATAGTTTTTTTTTTAAGAGAGAATTTAATAATAGTTGATAGAAATATTCTTTGAAAGGTGTAATATAATAAGATTAACAACAAAATTTAAAAAATGGTTCCTGTGGTTGGCAAAATTTTGTGGTTTTGGTCCAACAATTTTTAGAGGTCCACCAATGGTCCAGAATTGAATCTTTTTATTGGTTTTTGTCACTGTGCACTTAAAAAGACGATTATGCCCTTATAATTTGTATTTTTCATTTTCTTTAACTGCTAATACAAAAATCAATTTAATTTACATTTTTTAACTTAAAACAAAAAAGGGCCCTCCTACCCTATTTATCTTTCCCTCTCTCTTCCCTTCTCAATAAAACATGCGGGCACACACACACACTCAAGAAACATATCCCCCTCTCCTTCACCCGACGAACGACCACCTCACCACTTATACCACCCTCGCAATAGTTTATTTGTAGATCTGGAGCACCCCCATTTTTTAAGCAATCGCCAAAACTAGTATTTTTAGCCTTCGTAGCCGCAAAAAATGAAGGGGGTTTCGTTTACAGGTAAGAACATCAAATTTCTTATATAAAGGTGATAAAAACACCACCTTCAGTCCCGCGCAACGTGCTGGGACGCCCACTAGTTATATATTAAAAACAATATTTATTAATATATAATAATCCAATAAAAAAATTAAAAAATAATTAATTAGAAGAATTAATGTATAATAACTGAATAAAAAAAAAGAGATGCAGAAATGGTCTCTAAGGGTAAAATTGTCTTTTTTTTAATCACCAAACATATTTAGACCAAAACCACATATTTTTGATCGATGGTGCACCACCAAACATATTTATACCAAAACCATATATTTTTTATCCAAAAAAGTTTGGTGGTGTAACAGTGGTCCAATTTTGGATACTGATAAGCCCCAAGTAATCCTAGAGTGCTTTTTGTTGATCTGCTTTATTATAGTTATTTTGGTCTAGGGGTAGTTTGGTCTTTTATTTATTTTGCAGGTTAGAGTTAGTGGTGATTCAAAGTAATGGGAATATCACCTCGCTAAGCTGTTATTCCCTTTTGTCCTTTTCTTTAGTAGTAGTATATATAGTAGTTAGTAGTATGAGTGAGGGAGCTAAAAAATTAATTTGTAAGAAAACTTTGTTCTTCTTTTGGAGAGACTCTCACCTCTAGAATTGTGAGAAACTATCTTTATGAATTTTATCAAGAATTTCTGTTAGTATGAGTGTTATAATGCCTGGGATTTACGATAGATTCAACAAGGGTCTATCAATTGGTATAGGGGAAAAAAAGATAGCAAATGAACAACAACAACTATCTCTGTGGATTCAACAACAAGCAAAGGCCCAGGAAGAGCTAGGATCATTCGAACAGAGTTGCTAGAGATGGTCAAGATAATGGAGATGCATCGTCAGAACCAGATAAAGAGAGAGGAAGAGACAGAAGCTGAGATAGCAAACATGAAAAAGTATTACTACTCAGAGGAAGAAATGGAAGCTGAAAAGGCCAAGTGGAGACAGATTTATTACTCAACCTTGAAGGAGAAGAAGAAAGCAGTCAATGAGGAGGAAGAAGAATCCTTGGAAGAGTCTGAGATGGAATCGGAACCTATGATGGAACCTCAGCTTCCATCATCTATGATGCCGGCTCCACCACCACCATCACCGCCACTGACTCAACCACCTCTAGAGTTTAAATTGAGTAAAGAGGGTGCAGTTCTGGACACTGGAGGCTCAAATAAGCTTGTTACAAAATCTGAGGTGCCTTTGATCAATGACCACAAACAACCATTGACGCCGCCGCCCTACCCTTCGTCGTCGCCATCTCCATCTCCACCACCGTCAGCTCTGTTATCTCCACCACATCTAAGACTCGAAAACAACAGCGAGAAGAAGATTTTGAAAATCAAGAAGTTGGACAGTGGGAGATGCGAGTTCCTAATGGCCACAAACCACCACCGCCACCACCACCGCAGTTGCAGCCGTCGTTACCGGTGTTTGATGAAAAGAACGGAGGAACGTTCGAGAAAGCGGAGTATGAGTACAAACAGAGCGTCATAGGATGGGAAGTTCCGTTAGTTTTAGGTCATGGTGAAAATGGGCTCAAAAAAGATATGTGGGCCGAAATGAGAGTGTTGGGCTCACCTAATCAGAGAATGGACGTGATGAAAGGTAAACACTCTAACTTAAGCCCAATTGTTAGTAAATCATCTAAGGTTAAAGAGACTTACAGCAGCCCATGTGAGATTGAATCACTGATTACGCATTCAATCCAACAGTCGGTGAACTTGGCGCCAACTCTTACGTTCTCAACTCCTACTTTAGCACCACCTGCATCGTTGTTTCCTATAATCTTAAATCTAGATATGAGTATGGAGTTTTCGTTGAATCAAATGCAACGCACACACAATTCATCGTCATCCCTGTCAATGTACAATTCAAATTCAACTTCTGAAATACGAAAAGACCACCCCCTCAAGCTTGCTGCCGAAGACTACTTATCTGGGATTGTAATGTTATACCTCCAGAAAGGAATGGTGGACCAGGCACTCCAACCATTCGACAAAATGCTTCAACATCAGAACCGCATCTTTAATGAAAAATCTCCTTGTCAGGAGGCATTTCTAAAAGCTTTACCAGGTGATAATGAAAGATTTAGTGCAAAGAGTATTGAGGTAAAGTATCTAAAAGGAGGTTATGTTGCTTCGAATTCCAAGAAAGTTCATGCAATGGGTAATGCAAATTTTAATTCTTATGTGATTATCATGAACCCTGTGGGTCACATTGGAATTGTATATGCTCTGATGTTGCATTGTTTGGTTGTGAAGTTGGCTGAGATTTTGACTAGGATTGATAAAGAAAGAGAGAAAGAAAAACTTCTTGAGATTGCTAGTAAGGGGAAGAATGTTTCAAGGTCTGTTGTCATGTGGATGGGGAAGAAACCAGAAACTGTTGAAGAGATAATTAGCTTGGATAGGACGGGAAAAAGCCCATAAGTTGTGGTTGTTATGCATGTTGTTTCTGGAAACTATTATGCATACGGTGAAAAGAACAGATTGCCTGGGAAGGAACGGGTTCAATTTTTTGTTGAGAAGGGTGATGCTGATAAAGAAAATAATGATGTGCTAACTGAGGTCGAGCAAGTGGATGTGATAACTACAAATCATGGCAATACTGAGGAAGCAAAGATAACAAGGTTGTATGTTAAAATTTGGGTGATATTCACCATTTTTATCCACCTTAAAGGGATGAGAGTTAAAAAAAATAGCAACAAGAATGAAATGGAATGGCTGGTCCAGTGGCCAAGGTTGCCGGAAGCAGAAGCAACATGGGAAGAATTCAAGAAGATGAAACTAAGGGTTCTGGATGTTCACCTTGAGGACAAGGTGAAAGTTTGGGACGCCGGTATTGATAAGCCCCAAGTAATCCTAGAGTGCTTTTTGTTGATCTGCTTTATTATAGTTATTTTGGTCTAGTGGTAGTTTGGTCTTTTATTTATTTTGCAGGTTAGAGTTAGTGGTGATTCAAAGTAGTGGGAATATCACATCGCTAAGTTGTTATTCCCTTTTGTCCTTTTCTTTAGTAGTAGTATATAAAGTAGTTAGTAGTATGAGTGAGGGAGCTAAAAAATTAATTTGTAAGAAAACTTTGTTCTTCTTTTGGAGAGACTCTCACCTTTAGAATTGTGAGAAACTATCTTTATGAATTTTATCAAGAATTTCTGTTAGTATGAGTGTTACAATGCCTGGGATTTACGCTAGATTCAAAAAAGTTTGGTGGTGTAACAGTGGTCCAATTTTGGATACCTAGTGTGGTTTTGGTCCCTATGCTTATCATTTTTGTGTAGTTTTGGACTATACCCCACGTAAAATGACGAATATGCCCTTATTTGATTCTTTTTAATTTTCTTTATTTAATATTCTTTATTTAATTAAATAAAATAAAAAGAAAGCATTATCTATCCTGTTACATTACTCATCGGACCACCACCATCAGAGAAGGGCCACCGCCGCCACTACCACCACCATTAGAAGATTAAGAGATATGGTTGTCACTGCCACCACTGGAGAAGGGAGGCGACGCCGTAGTAGAGATTGGATCTAGGATTTGCACACCGTTTTCGCTGGAAAGCATCTATCGTCATCTTCGTCCCTTCGTCTTCTCTAGTAGCGTCATTATAATGCCATAAGGGTTTTGTAGCGCTATCTGTCGTCGTCGCATCCTTTCGTTGCCGCCCCTTTGTTCTAGATCTACAAACGAGACCGACGATGATGTTTTCCATTACATAAACCCAAGCCACCACATTGTTTCCGTTCCACATACGGTAGCCATTGGTAGAGGGTTGTCTTAGTAGTGGCGCATGGTGGCGCAGAGGGTGGAATGGAGGCGACCATAGGTTGTGGTGGCGCAGGGGGGTGGAAAGAGATGTGTTTTCGTTGGTGCTCAGCAGCACGGTGGCGGCGTCTGGCGGTCGCAGTGTTGGCAGGTGAAAATCGTAATTGCCGAAAGATGGTGGAGCGACATTTAGGTTGGGAAAACTCCGATCAGAAGTGTAGTACCAGTGGGAAGTTTTTATCAGTACGAGGAAGGAAAGATGGGGTGAGGGTGGTATTAGATGTTTGTGGTGGACGGTGGTGGCAATCGGTGGTGATGGTGGCGGACAATGGAAGCAGTCAGTGGGGATGGTGGTAGCCATTAGCGATGATATGTTTCTTAAGTATGTGTGTGTATGCACCTCCAAAAATTTTTGGACCAAAACCACAAAATTTTGCGAACCAAAGGGACCATTTTTGCAATTTTGTCGTAAATATTTTTATATTACAACTAAATTTTATTGAAATCGTTTACCTTTTATAAAATTGTGAATTTTGTGGCTTTAAGTAGGCTAAATACAATAATGATGGAGAACATGGTAATTTTGACAAAGGTATGTGGACTGTGAAACCTCTATTTTTTAATCATTTCATTTATTGTAGAATTGTAGAGACCTCATGGTATCTAATATTGTTAAAAATGATGAGTTTTTCAGTTTATAGATTTTCAAAAAGAAAAGAAAAGGCAAAATACAAAGAGACGAAACGAACTTCACCATTTTAGCAAGCAAATGAGTTTATTTCATCTCAAGTTCAAATTTTGGGGGGTTCTTTTGGTATTTTAATCTTTTGCTTCGTATTTACATCTTTCAAAAAATATTTATGTCAACTAGTACAAAACCCAGTTAAGTATTGGTTGATGAAAAACAAGTTACACATAAAAATGAAAGTAAATTGCTATTTATTGCATTTAGCCAAATCTTAAAATATATGCAATAAATAGCAACATACTTCCATTTTTATGGTTTATAAGCATATTATAATTAAAAATATTAAAAAGAGTAAATACTGTTTAATATAAAGACAACGTAGATAACAGTAAAAACATATATATATATATATATATATATATATATATTTCATTTTAACTGGTCCAAATTAAGGAAAACAAAAAAAAATATGCATGGCCAAATTGACCAAAATAATACAAAAATTGTCAAAATGATCAAATTGACAACAATAGTCATTTTCATTAAAATCTTTTTTTACTTTGTGTTTTCAATTTTCGTATCACCGTCCAAAATCACAACTTCAAGCTCAATGTCGATTCCAAGTTGTCTTAACTGCTGAATCTATCTTAATTGCTAAACAGCCAGGTTAGCATCCACTGTATAATCCAAACCCCTTATATCTACATGTTTTTCCACCTACAATATCACATTTAAAAAACATATTAATAAAATTTTATATAAATGAAAAAGATGTATACCTACAAAAGTACATTTAAAAAACATATTGGCCAAAAGCAATGCCCTTTGTTTTATCTTTGATGGATTTTCTGTTGTCACTTGACCCGTTATGAGAATCAGATCCTTTGTAACAAAAAAATTATGATATATTATAGACAAAACCTTTAAATATTATTTATTAACAAAAATATTTGCTTCCTGTCGTTGTCAATAGCACCAACAATTATGTTATTATAATTGTATTTTCCTTCTTGTGACAATATAGGTCACGAGTAAGAGTTGAAGTTGTGTCCAAAATTTCATTTCTACATAAATTAAACATTAGACAAATTTAAATAAAAAAATTAAAAAAAATAGAATAAAAAAATGGAATTTGCTTACACACTCCTAAATAGTTCAAAACTATCTCTATCAAGTAGTTTCGTAGAGACAATTTTGAAGTATTTATGATCGTGTAATTAAATTCCATCTTTTTTATTTTTTTTAGTTTTTCTAATTTATTTGATATTTTTGTATTTAAATTTGTCTAATGTTTAATTTATGTAGAAATGAGATTACGGACACAGCTTCAACTCTTACTGGTGACCTACAATGTCAAAAAACAGAAAACGCAATTATAATAAGAAAGTTGTTGTTGGTGCTATTGTCAAGGACGGGACGTAAGTATTTTTGTTAATAAATAGTATGTAAAGGTTTTGTTTATAATATATCATAATTTTTTTTAGTTGCAAATGATCTAATTCTCATAACGGGTAAAGAGAAAACAGAAAATTCATCTAAGATAAAAAAAAAAAGGGTATTGATTTTGGCCAATATGTTTTTAAATGTGCTTTTGTAGATATATATATATATTTTTTTTTCTTTTATATAAAATGTTATTAATATGTTTTTTAAATATGATCTTGTAGGTGGAAAATTTTGTAGATACCAAGGGTTTTGACTGTAAAGTGGATGCTAACCCTGGCAGTTTAGCAATTAAGATAAATTTTGCAGTCGAGACAACTTGGAATCGACATTGAACTTGAAGTTGTGATTTTAGACACTGATACGAAAACTGAAAACACAAAGTAGAAAATGACTATTGTGGTCAATTTGACCATTTTTGTATTGTTTTAGTCAATTTGGTCATCCGTACTTTTTTTCCCTTAATTTAAACCATTTAAAATGAAAAAAAAATATAATATATTTTGTTGTTTCTACGTTGTCTTTATATTAAACATTATTTACTCATTTTAAAATTTTTAATTATAATATGTTTATAAACCATAAAAATGGTAGTATGTTGCTATTTATTTATAGCTCAAGATTTGGCTAAATTCAATAAATAGCAATTTACTTTTATTTTTATGTCTAATTTGTTTTTAATCAACCAATACTTAACTAACTGAATTTAATAATAGTTCTTTTTAAAGAGAAAATTTAATAATAGTTGACAAAAATATTCTTTGAAATGTGTAAATGCGAAGCAAAAGATTAAAATACCCAAAGAACCACCCGGAATCCAAACTTTAGATGAAAAAAACTCATTTGCATGCTAAAATGGTGAAGTGCGTTTCGTCTCTTTGTATTTTTGCCTTTCTTTATTTGAAAATATATAAATTGAAAAACTCATAATTGTTAACAATATTAGATACCATGAGGTCTTTACAATTCTACAAGAACATGAAATGATTAAAAAATAAAGGTTTCACAGTCCACATACCTTTGTCAAAACCATGAAAGTCATAACCAAACAAAATTACCATGTTCTCCATCATTATCGTATTTAGCTTACTAATAGCCACAAAATTCACAATTTTATAAAAGGTAAGTTATTTCAATAACAATTAGTTGCAATATAATAATATTTACGACAAAATTGCAAAATTTTGTAGTTTTGTCCCAAAAAAAATTAGAGGTGCATCAATGGTCCTAAATTGAATCTTTTTATTGGTTTTTGTCACTGTGCGTTTAAAAAGACGATTATGCCCTTATAATTTGTATTTTTCATTTTCTTTAATTGCTAATACATAAATCAATTTAGTTTACATTTTTTTAACTTAAAACAAAAAAGGCCTACCCACCCAATTTCTCTTTCCCCCCCTCTCTCTCTCTCCTCAACAAAACACACACACAAACACTACATAAACATATTATCTCTAATGGCTGTGACCATCACCACATACTACTACCACCGTTCGCCACCATCACCACCGACTGCCACGACCGTCCACCACCACCATCACCCCCATCTTTCCTTCCACGTACCGATAAAACTTCCCCACCGGTACCACCCTTCTGATCGGAGTTTTCCCAAGCCAAGTGTCGCCGCCACCATCTTTCGACAATTAGGGTTTTCACTTGCCAACACCGTGACCGCGAGACGCCGCCATCGTGCTGCCGAGTACCAACAAAAACACATCTCTCTTTTCCCTTCTTTGTCACCCGACGAACGACCACCTCACCACTTATACCACCCTCACCATAGTTTATTTGCAAATCTGGAACACTATCATTTTATAAGCCGTCACCAGAACGAGTATTGTTAGCCTTCGTAGTCGTAAAACATTAAGGAGGTTTCGTTTACTAGTAAGAACACCACTACAACCTATGGTCGCCTCCATTCCACTCCCTGCGCCACCACTTGTTCTAGCCGGAAACACCATCACCACTGAGACAACCCTCTACCAATGGCTACCGTATGTGGAACAGAAACAATCTGGTGGCTATGGTTTATGTAATGGAAAACATCATCTTCGGTCTCGATTGTAGATCTGGAACAAAGGGGAGGCAACGAAAGGACGACGACGACGACGACGACAGATGGCACTACAAAACCCTTCTAGCATTACAATGACGCTACTAGAGAAGACGAAGGGACGAAGACGACGATATATGCTTTCCAGCAAAAACGGTGTACAAATCCTAGCTCCGATCTCTACTATGGCGTCGTCTCCATTCTCCGATGATGGCAGTGATAGTCAATCTTCTAATGGTGGTGGTAGTGGCGGTGGCCTTTCTCTGATGGTGGTGGTCCAATGAGCAATGTAGCAGGAGAGAAAAAGAGAGGGGTGGGGTGGGGTAGGACAGGTAATGTTTTCTTTTTATTTTATTTAATTAAATAAAGAAAAACGAAAAGAATCAAATAAAGGCATATTCGTCATTTTATGAAGAGTATGGACAAAAACCACACAAGGTATCCAAAATTGGACCACTGTTGCATCATCAAACTTTTTTGGATAAAAAATGTGGTTTTGGTCTAAATATGTTTGGAGGTGCACCATCGGTCCAATTTCGGATACCTTGTGCGTTTTTGGTCTAAAAATGTTAACTTTAACAACTTGGTTGTTAACTTTAAAAAAAAAAAAAAATACCCTTAGAGACTATTTCTGCAATCAAACTACAATGACCATTTCTGTACCTCTTCTTTTTTATTTTATTCAATTACTATACATTAATTCTTCTAATTAATTCTTTTTTAATTTCTTGTTATTGGATTATTATATATTATACCTATATGTTGATGGAAGTAGTAACGAATCAGGCAGTCATCACACAACCCTCAAATGAAAATCATAAGGTAATTGTTGATTGTAAGTGCTTAATAGTATTAATGCTTAAATTATTTTGATAATCGTCCACTTAATAACACAAATATATTGTTGTTACTGAATTGTATGGTGCACAATTAACAATTTGGTTGACGAGAATTGTTAATTATTGTTAATTGTATGGTCAAATGAGAATTTTACCATAAAGAGATAATAATAAAGTAATCAAGTAAATCCATGAATGCTTACTGAGGGACAAAAGGTTACCACATTTGAAAGTCAAATTCCTGGAGTTGTTTTATATCATTTGCAGTCACTTTAATGGACTCTAATCTCAGAGATTTTAACTTCTTTAATGGCTTTAGATGCGGCAATCCTTCACTTGTTACTTGAGAAGTTGATAAGTTTAGAGACACCAATTGTGTCAGACCTGCAACAATTACACATTTACCCTTATCTATCTTAAAATATTTTATAAATCCCATTTCATCTAACCTTGTCTGTTTTTTAAAACACAAATCTGTGAGTTGTTTGTTTTATCAATTTTAAGGAGATAATAATAATAATACCAGTAATGGATTTTAAGGATGCATCTGTGAGCTGTTTATTTCGTGACAAGTTCAAAAGCACCAAACATCGAAGATCCTCCACCAAAAACTTCCAAATACTGTAGTTTTGTAAGATCTACATGAAAAGGCAGGGGTATAACTGTCATTCCCATGACAATTTAAAAATCAACAACAGAAAGTCAAACTCTAGAATATCAAAACATTCACCGATTCTTGTAATCTGGTTAAATTAACAGCGGTAGCCTATACAAGTCATTTCCTGTTCAACAGAATCTAAAAGTTAATAAAATAAAAAGTCATTCTAATTTATAAATATAAAATAATAACTTTATATTACAATAGAAAAATAAGTGGTTGATAAAAGGTATAATGAAAATGAGAATGTTACCTTTGTTGATCTGCCCTCACTTCTAAACCTGTATCATCCTGCTCAATAATTTTTAAAAAAAAAAAAAAAAAAAAAAAAAAAAACACACACACACACACTTTTAGCTTCAAACTCATCTGATGGAATGTACAAATGAAGGAGAATGAGATAGCATACGGAAAATGACAAATATACCCTTTAAAAAGTTCAATTGCATAAGAAAGCATTTTATGTTCTGTTCCCCTAATGTCATCTTCAATTTACTGATGATTGTATTGATTGGATAATTTGGAATGTTTGAATGCAACTAATATTCATGTGCCCAATTATGTTGTACAATGTTAAAATTATTGCTTTGGAATCATTAAATTGGTGTTAACTGTTTAAAATATACACATGTGACGCTATAAAAGTAAAAGAGGTTAAAACGAAAAGTATGTTGCTATTTTCAATTAATATCTATTTGACTATAGTAAAAAAAATATTGGTTTAAATTTCAAATTGATGTCCTTTCAGGAAAATAAAATCCACCTACCTACCATTGTGTCATTTTTTAGGAGTTATGCATAAATCAGTTTACCCTTTTACTTGCATCATTTTAGCTATGAACTTGTTTTTAGAATGTTTCCTCCTAGTGAAAAGAAGTTGAAAAAAAGCCAAAAATAATTATCATTCAACATAAATTTTCCAATAATATGAAATAGGTTAGGTGGGGACCCTTCAAAAAACAATTCCAATGAAAAAACTATTTCCATAATAGTGCAAAAAAGGTCCTCATTTAAGTGAAGCTAGTAAACATACCTTAACAACATCAATCATCATTTGGATGTGTTTTTTGCCACATCAAATAACTTCCCACCAATGTAAGAGGCTGAATATTAAAAGGCTGTAGTTTCATATTCCCCCAAAACCCATCATATAACCTGTAAACAACACAAAAGGGAAAGCATATATAAATCTACAAGCGAATAAAATAAAGCTAACTGCAGAAGAAATGGCAGATTTAAGATAAAATTTAATAAATAAATAAATAAAAACAGAAGCAAAATGGTCCCAAACATGACCCTACCTGACCATGTATTTGGATAGTTCCTCTCATCTTAATCTCCAGCTGATTGCTACATGTAAATGCAAATACATGATATGAGTAAATGCAAAAAGTCGTTTTTAGTAAAATGTAACAATAAAGATTATGTATGAGAAGAATTGTCCATTCATACCGCATAAAAAAACAATCAAGGAGAAGACCCTACCAATACTACAAAGAAGATAAAAACCACCTGAATACACAAATGATAAAATTAAACGTTTATAAAAACATACAATTTTGAAAATGTCAGATAATCGAAGGTCTGGAAATGATTGTTACCTGTAGAATCAAAGTTAGTTGAGAGATTAACTCCAAAACATGAACAACCAAAGAACAGTGATACTTGACCTTTCGGTTGTACACATGAATTGAACCTTGAAGCAGCAATGCGGCTAGGGTTTCCACAAACAAATAAGTGTTAGAATGTCCTTAATAACTCCGAGGGTCCTCGAAATTCAGACATGTGACTACATCTTCTCACCATAGCTAGTCTCCCTGGAGCAGATCTTGCAAATACACTGGCAGGATCTACCTACAAATTTGATTCCAAGTCAAGAATAGCCTGGGCCGGCCATGAATGCGATGTTGGTACATTGTAAGTGTTGCGGTGGTGCGTTAGAAAGAGAGAGACAGCGAGGGAGTGCGAAAAACAGTGATCTGGTGGTTTTAGGGTTTTTGTACAAATGGTGGTGTTGGTAACCAACGATGGTGATGCGAAGGATGGGTGATGATCATGTGGTCCGTTATGCTGCTGGTAAGATTGAGATTAAAAAAAAAAAAAAAAAACATGTCATTATAGCAAGAAGCGAGTTAAACCGGAAGATAACTGTGCTTTGGGTATACTTTATTATTAAGACTTAAAACTATCATAGATTATCATTATAATAAATTAATCTAATAATTAAATAACCATTCGGTTAACTTTTTTACATAGTTTTTTTTTTATAAAATTTTAACTAATTTATCCATATGTATCTAAAATGTTTTATAAAACCTTATTATGTAATTATTCTTTTTTTAAACTCACGATATATTTTAATTTTATTAATAATATTATTATATATTGTTTCAAAATAAATATATTATAACATATCGTTCGGAAAAATTAATACGAAAAAACTATTACGGAATAGTGATAGAAAAATATTGAAAATTTTATATAATCATTATAATTTTATATTTCATAAAAGAAATGTCATTAGATACTTAATATAAATAATTAATTAGTAAATAAATAAAAAAGTATTTAAAACGGAAATATATTTAGGAAGGTAAACGAAATATAACTAAAATATGAGGAGGTTAAATGACAAAGTAGAGAAATATATTGACCATTCAATATATATTGAGTGGTCAATAAAAAAAATAAATAAACTCTATATTCTAATGGTAATAAGTTATAAAAAAAAATAAAGCTTCTATAAAAAAGTTACCATTAGAGATGCTATAACATTTTGTCAAATGTTATAGTATATAATATATATTAATAAATATTATGTTATTAGATTATTAATCTTTTTTAAATATTTCTTTTTAATTTTTTTTTATTGGATTATTATATATTAATAAATATTATTTTTAATATTTTTTATTGGATTATTATATATTAATAAATATTATTTTTAATATATAATATTTATCTATTAATAATTATTACTCTATTGAATTATTATTCTCTTGTAGTTATTTTTTTATTTTATTTTTATTGGATTAATTCTTTCTTATTGGATTATTATATTTTAATATAATTTTTAATATATAATTTTTATATATTAATAAATATTACTTTATTATATTATTTATATGATCCTTTTTTTAGTTTCTTTTTATTGGATTAATTCTTTTATATTTGATTATTAATTTAGTTTAGTTATCTTTTTAATATCATTTTTATTAAATTAATTTATTTTGGGCAACATCACCACCATCATAATTTATATATAAAAAATCTCACCCATTCCACTACTATCGGACTGAGTGGTGGTGGTGGTGTTTGATGGGTGTCAGATCCAAAAACATTAAATTATAAAACATTAAATCATATTTACACATATTATGTAAAACTGATAGTAACATTGGCAAATAAAGTCGATCTTCAAGGACTCAATTTTAATCCATAAATACACCAAAATAATCATGTTTTATTCTAGGACATAAAAAGAATAAAGCAATCCAGTTTTGATTTCTATTCACCTAATTGATGCATGCTAATTATGAATTGCTGTCAAATTGAATTTTAGTCTAAGTTGGTACTTGAAGATACTAATAAGCTCTAGCATCTTCCATTCATCAAATTGTTTAATCAAAACAAACTCTTGGAATTAAACCTAACATTACTAACCTATTATAAAAAAGCTCTTAGAAATAGATTGAAAGATCACATTAAGTTTTATGTGAATTTTCCCAACAACGTTCAATTTGATGTGTGTCACTTAGCATCAATTTATAAAACAGTTACGGATTTTACAAATCAAATAACAAGAATGACAATAAAATCAACTTTTTAGGCAGATTTTAAAAGCTAATAAAATGATTAATAAATTATGCTAAAATTATGCATAAAAAGCAACCAAACAGTGTTGTCCAAAATATGTTATCTTCAAAATATTTAAAATAAATTAGGAGATGTGGGACGGGTGAGAAATTAGTAATCCAATAAAATAATATTCATCAATATATAATAATCCAATAAAAAATAGAAGAAATTTATAATCCAATAAGATAATATTTATTAATATATAAATATTATATATTAAATATCATATTTATTAATATATAATAATCCTATAAAAAAGTTAATCCTTTAGAAAAGAACTTAAAAAAACTAATTAAATGAAGTTAATAATCCAATACAGTAATATTTGTTAACATATAAATATTATATATTAAAAATAATATTTGTTAATATATAATAATACAATAAAAAAATATTTAATACAATATATAGAAATTTAAAAAAATAATTAACTAAAAGAATTAATGTATAGTAATTGAATAAAATTAAAAAGAATAGATGTATAAATGTCCTTGGAGTTTGGTTGTAGAAATAGTCTCTAATGATAAAATGTCATTCTAAAAAAACTTAACAATAAAGCTGTTAAAGTTAACATTTTTGGACCACAAATATACAATGTATCCAAAATTTGACAAAACTATTATTTACCGTGAGATTATTTGTTTTTGGATGCTTTTCTTGTTGTAAATAAAATCCCTTTAATGAAAAGTAGATATCAAAGAGGGACACACCACGAAAGAAATGGTAATGTATTTTTATATATTTGTTTATAATAGCAAAATCCAACTATAATGCAATTTTCATCGATACAATTGTGTAAAATTTTCAAAATACAATATTTTAGTAATTATAATTATGAAACTGGAAATGAAATGTTCTAATAAAAAAGGCTAATGCTAGAATAGAAATATATATTTCATTGATTCGTTTATTATAACATCCTTGATAACATTTCATTATTGCCTTACAATATAAACGACAAGTTACATAAGAAGACGTTTTGATAAAAGACTATTTAGGATAAATAGTCTTGATGAAAGTCCTAGTAATTGAAAATGTGAACTCGTGCATATAAGGAACACCCAAGTCTAACTTCGTGAGAGCAAGTTATGATTTTTCGAAGTTTCAGCATAGTAGTGTTCGACATAGAAACCGAAATTGAAATCGGTCGGTTGTTAGGAAAAACAATTCAAACGAGAGTTGAAGATCTCTTCAATACCTATCTTTCGATATTTCTCCACACCAAACCTCTCTCACATCTCTCTATCTAGACCGACTTTTGGGGTACTTTCGTGGTCGTGAAGAATCTCTCTTTTAGCAAGGCTCTAGGATAGAAGATAGCCAGGCAAAAAGAAGTGTTCGGTATCGAGGTTGCCAGTGCAATTTCCGATTTTCGCTAGAGAATCTTTGTAAGTTAAGTTACACTCATATTGCTTTTAGTGTAACTTATATTTATATTCATAGTCATTATTATGAATGTATAAATAAGATTTGTCAGTAATTCTGGTATAATATTGGTTGATCTACTTACGGGGATGATGTCTAGGCTAGATTTGGTGAGGTGGTTAAAGTGGGATTACCTGGTTTCTCCTTATTTGATAAGCTTTAAATATTAATTGGGATTAGTGAAAGATCTAACTCTCATTTCCAGATTGTCATATGAATTAATAAGTTATAGTATTATAGGTTAATACTTGTTAGGCGCGTTACCCTCTAGTTAGATCGCCAGTAGGCAGTAGGATCGCCTAGTTAGCTGTCAATCGTCTGAGTAACTGTCCAGGTGACTTAGCTCACTATATTATGTATTCATGTATATATCAATGTATGTTAGGATTTAAGAGCGAGTAGAGTAGAGCCAATAGTATAGTACATGTATTAGTAGAGCCGAATGTGTAGTCTCTATGTACGTTGATATGCTTAAGTTATTAGGGTTTAGTTAGGGGTTGACGGAGGAACGACAATAGTTCGGGAGCCTAAAGAGCCAAGTGTTGATGACGAAATGGAAAGTAGACTGTAAGTCCAGATACACATATTATTGGTGGATTTTCGAAAGGTCGTGAGCCAATTATTGGAACGGCGAAAGGTCGTGAGTCATTACTTGTATACATTTATATGTATTGTGATATATGGTGTCTTGGGAAACTCACTAAGCCTAGCACTTACCCAGTTGATTATAAATGCTTTCGAGAACTTCCTCGGATCATGAGAAGAACAAGGCACGATTGACGCACTGGAAATATATATATATATATATATATATATATATATATATATATATATATATATATATATATATATATATATATGAATAAATAAAAATGAAAATTTTATTGAAAATCAGGACGTTACAAGTTAGTATATGAGCCCTGGTTTGTGAGAATTGGATGAACATTCGTGTGATTATAAACTCATACTAAGTATCTGAATATCTTAACAAATATTTTAAGGAAAAAGAACTATATTCAAAGGAAAAGAATGTGATGCGTGTAGTCAGTCAGAGCTCATAAAAGAAAGTGTTTCGCAAAATATCCATATTGTTATATTTGCTTATATATGAACTGTTAGAAATGTATGCTAGTGTGTAGCCTAGGGATCTTTTCAGGAATTGCATATTAGGACTGACTGATAGTTATGATGCCTTATATCCTAAGGATTTGCATGTTATTTGTTATATTGATATTAATTAGCTATTCGACAAATATGTTATGTTGCATGCCCCCTGAATTAAATAGTTTTAGATTGTCTAATTTGGCGCTATTGCGTAGCTCTCATTTGAGTCCAATCGTTGTAGTGTCGAAACTCCCAGTCGACAGACTGTTTAATTTTGTGACATGCAATTGTATCCTAGTGAAGTATAGGAAATAGATTAGTTATACCCTTGAACACTGAGTGTGTGAAAAGGCATGTAGGTAACAAAGTGTAGTGACTTAGGAACATTGGGACGGATAGGTGTGGAAGGTAATATGGGCCCATACTAACGGAAGCACAAGATCCATACAGGAATCAAGAGGAGCCACAATGTACTAAGAAACTGGAAAGGGATGATCGTTATTCCGAGATAGTTTATAGTTTCGTAGTAATACAATATGATTTATATCTTCATTACGGTGATTACTAGAGGTGGAGGTTCTAGATCTGGAACATGATCAGATGGATCCAGTCCGAGTGAGACTGATATATACAATTAGATAGAAGCGGCAGTATCAAAAGTCGTATGGGA